ACTCCAGTCCCAGCCTCTCCCAGCAGGGGCTGCTTTGGGGAGCAGGGCAGGAACACTGGCTGTGGGGGGCACTGTGGGGAGTGGGGCAGGAGCACTGGCTGTGGGGGGGAGCTCCCAGCTACTCCAGTCCCAGCCTCTCCCAGCAGGGGCTGCTTTGGGGAGCAGGGCAGGAACACTGGCTGTGGGGGGCACTGTGGGGAGTGGGGCAGGAGCACTGGCTGTGGGGGGGAGCTCCCAGCTACTCCAGTCCCAGCCTCTCCCAGCAGGGGCTGCTTTGGGGAGCAGGGCAGGAACACTGGCTGTGGGGGGCACTGTGGGGAGTGGGGCGGGAGCGTAGGCTGCGGGTGATGAAAGCCCAACTGGGGCCACGTGGCCAGGTGCTGACCTGTGCCGTTGGTGGATGCGATACTGATCTTGCTGTCACGCAGGGTCAGGGCCAGCGTTCTCAGCAGCTTCTCCACTGTGGCCATGAGCTCCGTCGCAATCTGGTGTCTCCGCTCTACGCTCTCACTTTGCTGCCCCACCAGATTTATCGGCTTCTCCAGAATGTCCAAGAAGCCCTGGCCAAGCAAACGTGGGGGGTGTTGGTGTCACAGTGCCTGATCCCCTGCCGCGCCCCCCATTCCTAGATTGCTAGTCCTCCACTGCCTCCCCACAATCCCCCTGAAAGGAAAGACAAGTTCTGCTGCAATTGACATCATTGCCTGGGAGGTCAGACTAGATGATCACAGTGATCCCGTCTAGCCTAGGAACCTAGGAGAGCAGCTTCTTGGGCACAGAGCCCACTGGAGAGGCAGGCGTGGGAATTTCTGGGCAGTGCTGCTGTTTATTTCTCTCCTGTTCCAGGCGCTGCATCCCTATAGATCACCCTGCGACTAGATCCGAGTAGGAGCAGCGATTCCTTCCCCTAACGGGAACAAACCCAGCAAGACCCCGAATTTTGGCTTGGCACCTGCAGCTTCTCTTCGGCGTTCTGAGAGTTCATCTGCTTCAGATCCTCCAGCACCGCCTTGCAGAGACGTCCCACCTGTGCCTGGAAGCTGCCCTGGAGGTTCTGCAAAACAAGGCCCAGGCCTGGCTCAGGAAAAGATCACAGACTCGCAGCCCACCTCCCCCCGTCCCGAGAGGCTCCCTCGGCTCAGAAGCCGGGCGCCAGAGGGAGCGCGGGCAATGCCCCGTCTGGCCCCTAGGGGGTGCCCGGCGTTTGCAAGGGATGGGGGGGGACGGCGGTTGCAAGCTGAAGCGAGTTGCAGCAGCCTGATGCTGCCGATCCTGGAGGGTGAGAATCACCCCGGGGCAAAGGCCTAGGCCGTGGCTGGACTGCAGGGGCTCCAGGGACTGGCCACTGGCTCTTTGCCCAAGGGCGAGTTTGGCCCCAGAATCCTTGTGGGGCGAGATCAGTGAAAAGCAACGTGGCACGAAAGGGGAATCGGGGTCTATCCCCCCCCCCCCAGGGTCTGTGCCCCACTCACCTTGGTTCCGGCAGAGTTGTCACCATCCAGCAGCAGGGGGCAGGTGAGCTCTGGGGATGGAAAGGGAAGAGGAGTGAGAGATGGGTGGGGGAAATGCGGGGTCTGGCTGGGTAGGTGCATGCACCAGAGCCAGGCACGGAGAGCAGGACTCATTCCCTCCAGCAGGGACACATCCAGCCCATGTCAGTGATATGGGTGTAATAGATCCTCTCCCAGCAGGGGGAGCAGTGACCTCCCCAGCCCCACACAGGTGCGCAGCCCCTTCTCCCCATCCTCCGCTCACAAGCTGGTCTCTGTGAAAGGAACCGTCCCCCTCCCTCCCCATCCTAGGGGAACTGAGCCGCAGTGGGGTGGGGACGGGGGCTGTGATATCATCCCCGCTGTATCTCCCCTCAACCCTCTCCCCCAGCTGTGCTGGGTTTGTTGTGTGTTTGGGGAGCAGGGAGGGTGAGAGAATCCATCCCTAGGCTGGCCCCACAGTCGCCTCTAGTGACAACTAGGCACAGACTGCGCCCCCTGCTGCCATCTTCCCAGGGCAGAGAATCCAGCCGTGCAGCAGGAATACAGGCACTGCTGGGGTGGGGGAGATGCTGTCACGGAGTATTGGGGGATTCAGGGCCCTGCACCCCCGGCTTCCTGCGATTCACCATGACTCTCAGCCAGCCAGTAAAGCAGAAGGTTTATTTGGATGACAGGAACACAGTCCAAGACAGGTCTTGCAGGCACAGACAACAGGACCCCCTCAGTTAGGTCCAGCTTGGGGTCCCAGGGCATCCCAGCCCACCCCCCTTTGGGGGGGTCAGGGCCATCTCTGCCTCCCAGCCCGCTTCCAACACTCTGACTTCAGCGACCCCTCCCACCGCCTTTGTTCAGTTTCCCAGGCCAAGGTGTCACCTGGCCTCCAGCCCCTTCCTGGGTTCTCATGTTACACGCTCAGGTATTCGCCCTCGGGCAGATCCCATCCCCCAATGCAGACTATCCTAGCCACACTCCCCTGTCAGCATTCACAGACCACAGTAAGAACAGGCCCAGTTCGTCACAGATGACCGGCCCCTGGCTGCCCTGCTCACCCCCTCCCCGGCCTGGCCTTGCTCCGCTCCCAGAGCCAGACCTGGGCACGCTGGTGGCTGTGGCTCTGAGACAACTGGAAACACCCCAATGGCTGGACAGGCTGGTCTGGGGGAAGGTGAGAGCCTTGAAGCTGAGCCCTCCCCAGCAAGGGCTGAGACCCAGAAGGACCCCGTCCATGGGGGGCAGGGAGGCTGGGGCACCATCCCAGACCAGTTCCCAGTTCACTGCCCCCTTGGGCAAGACCTCTGCCTGTGTAACCCCAGGCCTTGCCCAGCCCCCCAGGTGTCCCCTCCATGCCCCCCGCGGCAGGACCCACCTTGGCACAGGGTCGTGTTTCTGTTGGAGGGGACGTATCCGGCCCGGCACTCACACCAGTAGCTTCCGTAGGTGTTGAGACACGTGGCGTTGGGGCCGCAGATATCTGGGGTCTTGCAGCACTCGTCGATGTCTGGGAAGGGATAGCGGGGAGGGGGTCACACACAGCATGGCTGGGGGCACATTAGGGGCGAATGACCGTGGAGGCACCTCCCACCGATTGCAGGGGGCGTGGTCTATCGGTCAGTCTGTCTGCTCCATCTAACCCCTCCCTTCAATTCTCCTTTCTTCCCTCATATTTGCAGGGTCCCAATCCCTGCGGCACAACTCCTGCCCCACCCCCCAGATCGGGGGGCCCAAACTTTTCCAGACCAGGACCCTGCGATCCCCTCCCTGCACCAGCCCTGACAGAGCAGGGTTAAGGCGGGGCCTGATCAGCCAGTTAAGCTGCAAAGGGGAAGTGACTTAGGCTGCGTGCAGGGCGCTAGCTAGAAGGAAGCTCGCCTGGGAGGGGACAATTGGGGCTTCTCTACAGCCCGAGGGCTGGGCCCAGTGGTGGGGGCCTGAGGCAAGGAGGGCTAGGAAGGCCCGAGGGGGGGCTAGGAGCCCCGGACGAAGGGTTTCACTAGCAGGCAGAGGAGAGAGGGGTCTGACTTTGAAAGGCTCCCCCAGAATGGGGATCACAGCGTGACCTGGCTGGACGGCCGAGACCCAGGGTAGCCGCGACTCCGGGAGCTGCAATCATAGAATCATAGAATATCAGGGTTGGAAGGGACCTCAGGAGGTTCTAGTCCAACCCCCTGCTCAAAGCAGGACCAATTCCAACTAAATCATCCCAGCCAGGGCTTTGTCAAGTTGGGCCTTAAAAACCTCTAAAGATGGAGATTCCACCACCTCCCTAGGTGACCCATTCCAGTGCTTCACCACCCTCCTAGTGAAAAAGTCTTTCCTAATATCCAACCTAGACCTCCCCCACTGCAACTTGCGACCATTGCTCCTTGTTCTGTCATCTGCCACCACTGAGAACAGCCGAGCTCCATCCTCTTTGGAACCCCCCTTCAGGTAGTTGAAAGCAGCTATCAAATCCCCCCTCATTCTTCTCTTCTGGAGACTAAACAATCCCAGTTCCCTCAGCCTCTCCTCACAAGTCATGTGCTCCAGCGCCCTAATCATTTTTGTTGCCCTCCGCTGGACTCTTCCCAATTTTTCCACATCCTTCTTGTAGTGTGGGGCCCAAAACTGGACACAGTACATCAGATGAGGCCTCACCAATGCCAAATAGAGGGGAAGGATCACGTCCCTCAATCTGCTGGCAATGCCCCTACTTATTGAGCCCAAAATGCCATTAGCCATCTTGGCAACAAGAGCACACTGTTGACTCATATCCAGCTTCTCATCCACTGTAACCCCTAGGTCCTTTTCTGCAGAACTGCTGCCTAGCCACTCGGTCCCTAGTCTGTAGCAGTGCATGGGATTCTTCCGTCCTAAGTCCAGGACTCTGCACTTGTCCTTGTTGAACCTCATCAGATTTCTTTTGGCCCTATCCTTTAATTTGTCCAGGTCCCTCTGTATCCTATCCCTACCCTCCAGCGTATCTACCACTCCTCCCAGTTTAGTGGCATTGGCAAACTTACTGAGGATGCAATCCATGCCATCCTCCAGATCATTAATGAATGGAAGAGAAGCAAGGGGGCGCTGAACTGGAGCTGGTCGCCAGAAGGTGGTGCCACGTTCAGCATTACAGATCTCAGCCCGATGGGTTCCCTCCCCATTCAGGATACACCCAGCATCACTCCTCCCACAGAGCACTAGGAGAAAGGTGGGTGGGCTGTGCCCAGGGGAGTGCAGGGGAATTGGGTGGTGTCCCTTTAATCTAGTTTCTTTGCTCTCTGGTGGTGCTCACGGGGGTCGATGGCAGAAGCCCACAGACCCCCACATGCGGCCAGGCCCTGCACGGCTGGTAAACGGGTTGTTTGGAATCCAGCTGGATCCAGGGGATCCCCCTATTCCTAACACAGCGCAGTGAGGAGCAGCCCGACAACGTCCATTCCCAGACCCTGCTGTGACCCCCAGGCCCAGGGCCCCGCGGGGCGAATCCACCAAGCCCTCGGACGGATGACGCCAGCTCGACACTAGCTGCCGATCCGGCCTGTGGAAGCCGAAGCCAGAAGAGACCCGCCCAGCCTGACCCCCAGCATAGCCCCAGCCGGTGTCGCCACCCAGCGGGTCACCAATCCGGCCGCAAACGGAGGGGACTTCACTGCCCTCGCTGCCTCCTGGGGCCTTTCACCACTGTGGAGAGTCTGATCTGACAGACGGGCCCCCCCTGCCCGGGCACAGAGAGCCCTGCCGTGATCTAGCCAAATGCTGGAGGGCTGTGCACCCGCCAGGCTGCCAACGCGGGTAGTGCCAGCTGCCGGGCAAGGGGGGATACACGGGGGATGTCGGGGCTCCATGGTGCAGGGGGGGTCACTCACCCCATGCAGGGAGTGGGGTTTTCTACCTAGGGACCCGGCTTGTACGTGCAGAGACGCACTCGTTCCGGCCAGCCCCTGAGGAGCCTGCAGTCCTGTCTGGGGCAATGAGAGCTGGAGAAGCAGAGCTGGGACGAAAACCCCTTGAAGTCAGTGGTGCTGCACCAATTGACACCACTGGGGCTCTGGCCCCCGCTTTGTGACCATTTCACATACAGCAGCACTGAGTTGGTGGCGACGCATGGGGGACGGGCACATCGTCTGTCATTCCCGCGGGTTGGGGGAAGCGGTTCAGCCACTGCGGAAATGGCCGTGACCGATTCTCCCGGATATCCCAGCCAAGAACAAGTGCTGGAATTCGACATTTGCATGCTTATTAACCCAACATTTCAGCCGTCCAATCAGGAAGCTGAGAAAGATCATAGGACTCAGGCAACCAATTGTACAACATCAGTGACAAGTTTTCGGAGCAGTTTGCCAATAAAATCACAGACATTTATCCACCCAAACAGCCGAATGGTTGGCTGGTGAACGAGCAGGCTTGGATCAGCATGCAGAGCTGTTCTGCTGCCTCCCGCTGGCGTTCAGATCAGCAGTGGCCTATCAGTCACCATCCCTGGGGACAGATGGGTGTCGATCCTTCCTGAGGACGTTGGGGCAGGGCCACAGAAGAAAGCTAAGCTCTCCCCGATATTTATCCATAACGCTTTTGCTTCTCACAGACATCCTTGTGGCTAAAATCCCCTTCGCCTGGACATCAGCAAACATGTCAATCAGCGGGGAGAGTCAAGAGCGCTCACAGATCCTTCCCTTGGGCTGTGTTCCAGCAGCTCTGTCTCAGACTCCCCTTCTCTCTCTTTCCCGTGACAGCGTTTTGCTATTTCCCGCTACGCCCCTTCCCCTCGGTCGTTATTTGCATAAAGGCAGCACCCAGCGCGCTGCACACACACGGCCATAAAGAGCTTCTGGTCTAAATGGACAAGAGGTGGGAGAAAAAACTAAGGCAGGGAATTGCCCAAGGACACCCAGCAGTAACAGAGCTGGGATTGGAACTGAAGTCTCCTGAGTCCTAGCCTCATACCGACCCACTAGATCTGTCGCTTTCAGCTTGTTTTCTCCCTAGAAGACCAAGAATGTGTCTCCCCTGCCTCACCAGGCAGCGTTTACCTTCTGCTCCCCCTCACTGAGAGGAGCTCTGTGTCTCCTGGCTCACGGCCGGGAGTGCATCAGGGCTGGAAAAAATCCCTTGTTCCTTCGGCAGGAAACTCAACTTTTGCTCCATTGTTAAGCCTCTTGGAAGCCAACAGGCCTACGCCATGCCTGTGAGGGGGCTTGTATGTGCCAGCCTCTAGCGAAGGCCGAGAGCCACGGAAGAAGGAGAGAGCAAGTTTGTCCTGGTCTAGTGGCTGGGATGGGCTAGATGGGCCTCAGCTCTGATCCCGTCTGTGCTGTGGGAGTGCCAGCGTGACTTGTGTCTCAGCCTGGCCGGGGCCACGGTTTTGCCTCTTCAGAGGCTGAGCTGCTCCCGGGGCAGACTGACCCTGTAAGAACCGACCGGCTGCATCCTGCCAAGTGCTGCCTCCTCCGCCCCTCGGCCCTGCGACACTCGCGGGTTCTCCTGACAGCACCAAGGCGGCTCTGCGTTTCCAGAACCTGCTTTATTCCGGAAACAACGTACAATCGGGTTCCGCCCCTGAAGGCTTCCAAGAGTCCATGTGGGATGGGAACAGAGCTTCCAGAGCCTTATCCATCCCGTCCTGGTTCCATTGGGATGTTTATAGCGGGTACCACTGCAGCCGGGGCCCCGTGGTGCCAGGCGCTGTACACACATCCAGCCACAGCACAGCCGCTGCTCCAAAGCGCTTTTCCCAGCTCCAACGCTCTGTCTGCTGGAGAAGGGGCGCCATGCGCTGGGTTCTCGGTGGTGCAGCCAGAGCTCTCCCCTCCCTCGGGCACACGGGTGTCCCGCAGCTTCCAAACTCGCTCCGAGTTGCAGGGAGCTCTGAGATTGGGTGTCTCTAGGGGCTTAAGTACATGAGGAAATTGGTGGTAACAGCTCCTGTGGAATCGCTCCCCATCTGGACACTCTGGTCTGGAATAATCAATGGACTTCCAAAGAGAACAGCGATCGCCATCAATTCCCCCGGGGACAAGCCCTAGGGATTCTCCGCACGGCTCCCGATACCAGCTATCCCCGGACAATCCCCGGGACGCTGGCTGAGATACCTGCGGCGTGGATTTCTTCTTGTGCCTAGACCCGCCCCAGGACACTGGCTGGGGTTATCCCACGCGGCCGGGGGCTGGGCGCAGGAACGGCTGGGCGAGGTCTCTGTCAGGGGAAGCGTTTGAACCAATGGGCTCCTGAGTTCTCCCAGTTCGACGGGCCCGGTGCTCTGCGCCCCCCAAACAGAGGTGTAAAGGGTGGTTTCCATGGGAACGGCCGGCTATGACTTGGTACAAGCTCTAACTACCGGCTGAACGCCGCCAACAAGGGCTTGGCACGCCCCGGCCCCTTCTCCGGTCAGGCTGCCCTGGCTGCCTAAGGGGGCATAATGGCCCCCCAGGAAACACCCTCCCATCCAGGTTGCTCCCTGTCAGTGTGGGGCTGGAAAAGGCTCTGCTCCCAGCCCTGAGGGAGGGGGCAGATTGGGGGCGTAGCCTGGGTGCCCTGTGCTGGGGCTATTCCCTGCTCCCCAGGGCCATAGGGGGCAGAGCGCACTGTGCTGTATGTGGACCATCCACGAGGCCCCTTCCCAGGCTCGGGGGCACTAGCAGCCTGGATTCTGTGTGCTGGGGACAGCGAGGGCCCCACCCGTCTCCCCGGCGCCTCCCTGCAAACCTAGGGGATTATTCCCAATCCAAACACCGAGGCAGGGGAGATCCTGGGCCCCACGCGCTGGGGCAGCAGTTGAGGGTCACGGCTGATCACAGCCCTGGTGAGTGGATCCGGTGCCTTTGCTGCAGCCAGCAGCAGCATCTGGTGCAGCGCCAGGCCTGGAACGAGCATTTGTGTGTGCGAGGGGGGGGTCTCAGCAGGTGGGGCCACGGGAGAGCTCACCCTAGCAGGTGTTCTCACTCGCATTCATGAACTTGGCTTTCCCAGAGCTGAGCTCGATGCAGGTGCAGGAGTAATTCCCAGCCATGTTGGTGCAGTTTGCGTGGGGTCCGCAGTTTGCTGGGTTCGGGCCCTGACACTCGTCAATATCTGCAGCACAAGAGGGGATGTTCTGTACAGTCCTGGCAGGGAGACGTTCCTGTATCACCCACCTGTGCTGAGCTGGGTGATGGGACCCAGGCGACCAGGCCTCTGAGAGCTTAACAATCACAGGCCTGAGTCTCAGCTACACTCAGGCCACACTTGGCTGCTCCAGCAGCGGAACGGCCACTCGAGAATATGGTGTATTGAAAACTGTGTTAGCATCACAAGCTCTCACTTTACTTCTGCCAGGGGCTTTCCTGGACCTGCTTGCGGAGTAGGGGGCTTGGGTGAGAAGCATGTGATCTGGGCTTTTCAGCCGTGTGGCTGCCAAAGAGGCAGCCTAGAGCCAAGTGGGGTTAGTTGTGCCCGTCTGCCTTCAGGAGCAGCCTGCTTTGTCTCTCTCTGTTCGGGGTCCTCGTGTGCTGGGGTTCTGGAGTCTAAGAATAACCCTGTGTTGAGCTGCAGCCTGCCAGCGAGAGGATGTGACGCTTTGTTTCTAACTGTGTGTGTGTGTGTGTGTGTGTGTCACGTCACAGTGTGCCATGAACATAACAGAGGGAAGGGGACCTTCCGACCCCAGAACAGCCACTGTGGTCTCTATGGGCCAAGCCCCAATGGGGCCAAGATTTGGGGAGATTCAGGAGTCCCAAGGGGTGGGAACACTGGGACTTGGCAGAAATCCCCCTCAGGGTCCAATCACAGAGGAACACACAGGCATTGCCAGCCTGGGTCAGCCCCAAGGCCCATCTACCCCGGTATCCCGTCTGCGACGGGTGCTACAGAGGAAGGTGTAAGAGTCCCGCAGCAGCAGCCGGGGGATAATCTGCCCCCGTGAAGGTCTCCTCCTGGTCTCTAATAGTCGGAGTTCGGCTGAAGCTTTTCCCTCCCTCCCAGAATTATTGTCCATTAACTAGCACAGCTCCAGGCATTGTCGCTCCCCACAGAAACAGCCAGTCCCTCTTTAAAACTGACACATTCACAGCCTCCAGGCCGCGGTAGCAGTGAGTTCCAGAGGCTACTGCTGCCCTGGGTGGAGGAGTATTTCCTTGTATTCCTTTGAATTTGCCCCTTTTCAATTCAATTCACTCCACACTCTGCCCCTTGCTCACTGGAATTTCTAAAGCTCGTGATTTTCTAAGCAAATCTGATTTTTTTTAATGCCTGGGATTGTCGTCACGAGCTCAGCCATGCACTTGAGACCCACTGGAGCCCAGTTAAGTGCGTAGCTGGGCAGGGCTGGAGCCAAGCATGTGCTCTGCTGACTCGGGGGGCTCAGGGAGCACAGACAGGGACCAGCACAAAGCGATTTAGCAGCTGGTATTGCCGGCATTGCTAAAACCCAGTGACTGTGTAACCACATCCCAGCACGAGATTCCCCTGCCTGGCGCACGATACGATGGTTTGATGGATGGGGAATGTTTTGTCTGAAGCATCAGGAGTAAGCTACAAAGCCAGGGGGTGAATAAGGGAAGTTTTGTCTGAAGCAGCAGGAGAAAGGCACAAGGTGGGTAACAAGTTGTGAAACACACAAGCTGGGACGTCGGTTGTTTATCCTGGATGGTTTGTCTCAGTCTGTAACTGTCGGGGTCCATTGTCAGAGGCAGACGTGTGGCCGAGTCCCTGTGGCATCTCTGGGCGCTGGCACCGCGCTGCATTGGCGATAAACCTGGCCAAGCGCCTTTGCCACTGATCTGACTCTGGGCTGTCTGGGCACTTTGATGGAGGTCTGCCGGGCCGACGACCCGCCCAGAGCCGGGACAGCACACGGAGCCGACGAACGCCAACCCCATGTCCCCGCCCCAGAGTGCTGGAACTCGGGGTGCCTCAGGGAAGCCTGTGGCTGGGCTGGCAATACCAGTCACAGCACATGGCCCCTCACAGCGCTGCCCATTCAGGAAACTTGGGGCAGTGGGAGGGTCCCTCGAATTAGTAGCTGCGCCCTCTAGAGGCCAGAGGAGAGCATGGCTGCCCACCCCCAGCAGAAGCTCAAGCAATAGAGGACTGAGGGTGAATTCAAGAACGCTTTAGCACAGTTCCCAGAGCCGTTCCCGGGGCCACTTCCCAGGCTCCGCGGGGCACTAGCAGCTCAGATGCTGCGTGCTGGGGCCAGCGAGGGTCCCCTCCCCTTTCCCCAGCGCATTTCTGCAGCACAAGGAGTTTGCTCCGTGGGTCTGTTTCTATCCCCGAGAGTTTATTCCCCGTCCAAGCGCCGGGCACAGGGGTGAGCCCGGCCCCATGCTCTGCAGGTGCAGGCGAGGGTCACGTCTCATCACAGCCTTGCTGATGCCCTCGGGCCACTGCCAAAGCCGACAGCAGCCCCTGTGCAGTGCCAGGCCTGGAACGAGCATTTGTGTGTGCGAGGGGGGGTCTCAGCAGGTGGGGGCAGGGGAGAGCTCACCCTGGCAGGTGTTCTCACTCGCGTTCATGAACTTGGCTTTCCCAGAGCTGAGCTCGTAGCCATCGCTGCAGGTGCAGTAGTAACTCCCAGCCACGTTGGCGCAGTGTGCGTTGCGTCCGCAGTCTGGCGGGCTCGGCCCCAGACACTCGTTAATATCTGTAATGCAAGAGGGGACGCTCTGTACAGTCCTGGCAGGGAGACGTTCCCCGTATCACCCCCCAGCCCCACACACTGAGCTGGGTGATGGGACCCAGGCGACCGGGGCCCTGAGCGGATAGTGATTAAGGGCCTGATTCTCAGTTACCCATTTCTGCTGCTGGAATGTTGGAAACAGCCCCACGAGCCTCCTGTCCCAGGTACAGGGGGTTCAGCCCCACAAACACCAGATCCCATATGTGGGGGGGTAGGCGTCCCCCTGGGGCTCCAGGCTCCCTATGTGTTGGGGGGGTGACAAGGTGCCTCTCCTCTGCCCCCTCCCTCCTTGTATCACTGCGGGCTGTGGAGGGGTGAGTATAGCCAGGGCTGCCCCATTCTGCTCCCGTGGGGCCCCTCTGCCCTGGACACCCAGGGGCTGACTAGGGCCCAGGCTGGGATTCAGACGGGTCAGTGTGATGGACCCCCCCACCCTGTGCCCAATCCACATAGCCCAACGCTCCTGGCTCCTGCTGCAGCTGGTCCTGCTGTTCACTGTGGAGGCCCCGGTTCGATCCCCAGGAGGGCGGCGCTCACCCGTGCTGCTGCCCCCCCTCATTCCCAAGCCGGGCTGAGCCCCCCCAACAGGCCCTGCAGTCAGTGGAGTTGGCTGCTCGGCCCTTAATGCCCTGCTCTGTCCCAGCCGCCCCAGGACAACGTGGGAGCCCCGTTACCGTCACAGATCTCCATTGTGTCATTGAAGAGGCGATTCCCATGTGACTGGTATCCATCCAGGCAGGTGCAGTGGGTGTTGTTCACACACTTGGCATTTGCTGGGCATAGCACATGGCTGTTGCAGACCTCAGTGGTACCTGCAGGGGCGGGAACAGCCGGGCAGGGTCAGCCAGTGCAGAGCGGCTCCCCCCCCCACCCCCTCCCACACAGTGAGATCAACTCCTTTCACGCGCCCCATTTGCTGATTTTTGTCCCTGGGCGCCTGGCAAACAGCTGCGACGCCATCCACCGCCTGGCAACAAGGTGCCCTCGGCTGCACAGGGGCCTTGGCTCCCCGGGGAGCCCCCGGCACAGACAGGCAGAGCCGCCGGAGCGGGCGTCGGTGCAAGTGAAACGTTTTCCATCTCACCCGATTTTTCTCCTTTTTGTTGCTTTCGTCGTCACTTTCATTAGCAACAATTTCAACCCAAAACCTCACTTCCAACCGGAAATCGGGAATTGTTCGTTTTGAAAATTATTTCATTCCCCTCCCCCCTCCACCCCCCGAGTAAAACCAAACATTCCTCTGAACCGAATCTGCATTTTCTGGCAAAAAATGGGTCCTGGGGAAGTTGCTGCCCGGCTCTGCTCTGGATTGACTGAGAGCGGAGTCGGGCGCGAGGATAGTTTGGATCCTGAGCTGCCTCCCATGACCCAGACTGTGACCTGCCTACGGGGGCTCCTGGATCCTTTAGCTGCCCGGTGTCTGGGGCTCCGCTGGGATCCGTCCCTCTGGCCAGTGTGAGGGTAAGGATCCCAGCGCAGCTTAGCCGGCTGCAGGGTTGGGATGGGAGCAGACGGAGCAGGGTGGGAGCAGCACTGGGGGACCCCAGTGGGTCAATGGGAATTTGCCCAAATCCCATCTTGGGATTTGCAGCAGAGCTGGGCTCGGGGCGCAGAGTCCACATCCCAAACGCCCCCCAGCTGGGCACGTGGGTCCCAGGTTTCAGTTCAGCCTGATTTTAGAGGAGGGCACCTACAAATGCCACTTCTAACGTCTGAGCCATCAGGGGTTTGATTCAGGCTGGTCAATAACACGGCCCTTGGCTACAAAGGGGATCTGCCCCTCCCTCCAGCCCCCAGTGTAGAGCCCTGGGCCCCAGTGTCTATTCTCTGCTGGCCACGGGGCTGGGAAGGGAAGGGGAGGGCTACACAGGGGCCTTCTCCTCTCCCGTGCACGCACCCACCCTGCTCTATAAACCCACCCCAAGACGCCCACGCCAAGGGGCTGCTCCCGGCTCGCCAGACCCCTGACTCTGCTCTCCTCCCACAAGGGAAAGGGACCGGAAGGAGCGGAGGCCGGAGACCCCGGGCAGCCGGGAGTGCTGGGGAAGGTTAGCCAGGAGGAGTCAGCCTTACCTTGTGTGCCGTTATTCTGGGCCACGGTGCCCCCCAGGCACAGGGCGATGCAGAGCCCTGGAAGGCAGAGACAGGGTAAGGCACCATGGGCAGATGGTAACCGCCACTCAGCTGCACACACCCCCAGCCGCCCCCGTCCTGCCAATCCCGGGCCAATGGCCAGTCAGTGCCCTGCCGATGGTGGAATTAAAAATGCCGAAACCTGGTGCTCTGGGAAATCAGCCCCAGCTGGGATCCCTGGTAATATTTTTAACTGGTTCCAGCTGGGAAGTGGACTTTTGGCCAGAGCAACTGGGTCTTTTATTGTGTGTATTAGCAACAAAGACCAGAAGCCCCCATTGTCAGGGCTGGATTTATACTTAGGGTGCCCCTAGGTGCAGGAGCTTGGTGGTCTCCCCCCCGGCTTGGAGTTCCGGGGGCCCCGCTGTCTGGAGGCGGCCGGGAGCTGCAGGGTACCCCTGCTGCCCAGAAGCTCTTAAGTGCCACGGGCGGCAGGGAAACCCCACCACTTTTAACTTTAAGGTGCCACCCAAGGCCCCCTCCGCCCACTGCCCAGTGCCCCCCACCCCCTCTGCCCAGAGCTGCCCCATGAACTTCCCCAGAGACCCACTCTCCCAAGCCCTGCCCCCCGGCCCGCAGTAACTGGGAGGTGACGCTGTCTGCCGGGCATAGCGAGGAGCGCTCCAGGAGCAGGGCTGTGTGGGGCTGTCTCCCCCTCAGCCGGCCCTGCCCCCTGCTGGGACCTGGGAGCAACAAAACTGGAATTTTTAGGTGCCCCATAGAATGCCATCGCCCCAGGCACGTGCCCCCAACACCTTCCCCCCCGCCCCCATCGAACCTGTGTCCACAGAGCAGCACTGCACAGCCTCAGCCACTAGGGGGCGCCACAGCCCCATGCCAAGGCCACAGCCCCAGTGTCCATGCTGGGCTGGGTCTGGTCCCTCAGTTGGGATTCAGCCAGGGAGCGGGTGGAACAGGAGTTTCTGTGCTAGGAGCCCCCCCAGTTGCCCACCCCCAGAGAGCTAGAGGGATCTGGGCACTGCCCAATGCCAGTGCACCATGAGTAGCCCTCCTCCTGCTGGGTGCAACCCTGAGCCCCACTCCAATCGGAAGGGCTCTGCACCCCCCACCCCGTGCTAACCTGCCACCCCCCCGAGCCCATGTCCCGAGGATCCCCATAGTGCCTTAGCAGGATAATTACCCACACGCCAGGCAAACGCACCGCACACGCTAGTGTTCACATGCACACACACTCCGTCATGCACACAAACATGCAGATGTGTGCTCACGTCTGTGAACAAGTACAGATGTACATACCGGTGCACCCACACCCACGCACAGGCACACATGTGTGCCGCACACTCATGCACGGGCACAGAGGTACAGACACGTACGTTCACACATACCGGCAGCCTGCTGCAGCATCAGATGCAGGGACAAGGAGCCCCCAGGACCCTCCTGGCTGCTCAAACACCAGCCAGGCCGGAATGGAGGGAGAATCCTTCAAACCCTCCCGCCGGCGAACAGCTGCCGTGACTCTGCCCAGAGAGACGTGATCGTGGGGCCCTGCCCCCTCTGCCCCCCCAGGGACGTGGCCAGAATTCCCCATGCCCCCCCCCCATCAGAGTCCCAGTTCAACCCTCTAAGCAGGAAATCAGTCCTCCCTCCCCGAGTATCCCACAGCCAGAGCTCCTGTCCCACTCCCCACAGCGCCCCCTGCTGGGAGAGACTGGATCTGGAGCAGCTGGGAGTTCCACTTACAGCCGGCGCTCCTGCCCCACTCCCCACAGCGCCCCCTGCTGGGTCCAGCGGTGGCTCCAGGGACCAGCACTCCAAGCGCGTGCCTGGGGCGGCAAGCCGCGGGGGACGCCCTGTCTGTCCTGCGAGGTCGGCAGTCAGGCTGCCTTCGGCGGCATACCTGCGGGAGGTCTGCCGGTCCCGGCAGCAATTCGGCGGCGGGTAAGCCGCGGGACCGGGGACCTCCTGCAGGCGTGCTGCCGAAGGCTGCCTGCCTGCCGTGCTTGGGGCGGTGACAGCACTAGAGCCGCCCCCTGCTGGGTCAGCCCAGGACTGCAATAATGATACTCCAGCACTTTAACCAGGGCTTGCGGCTGCTGCCCCTGGAGTCCCGTGTGGCCGGCAGGAGCCGGGGTATCGCGCCACCCCCAGGCTGCCCCCTCAGACGGCAACGGCCGGGCGGTGACCACTGCCAGTGAGCGCCGTCCCCTCCCACCGCGCCGGGAAGCCGTGAATCATTAAACAACCTTGTCCAAGAGCTGACGCAGGTACTTGAGAGACCCGAACTCCCCCCACGCCCTGGATTCCCACCTGGCCCCCCCTCGACCCCTGCATCCAACCTCCCCCCCTTGACCCCGGATTCCCACCTGAACCCCCAAACTGCCCCCCCGCTCTCTGGTTCCCACATGGCCCCCAGACCGCCGGACTCCCACCTACCCCCAGGTCCAATCTGTCTCCCCTGCCCCGTGTTTTAACCTTTCCGCACTGGTCTGGTTTTCTAAACCTCTGCTCACGTTTGTGGCTCTCCTCTGGCCTCTCTCCAACGTGTCCACATCTTCCCGAAAGCGCAGCGCCCAGAGCTGGACACAGAATGCCAGCTGAGGCCTCGCCAGTGCTGAGCAGGGCGGGACAGTCACCTCCCGTGTCTTACAAAGCAGTGGTTCTCAACCAGGGGTACGTATACCCCCGGGGTTACGCATAGGTCTTCCCAAGGGTACGTCAACTCATCTAGATAGTTGCCTAGTTTTACAACAGGCGACAGAAAAAGCACTAGCGAAGTGAGTACAAACTAAAATTTCACACAGACAATGACTTGTTGATACTGCTCTATGTACTCTACACTGAACTGTAAGGACAATATTTATATTCCAATTGATTTATTTTATAATGAGACGGTGAAAATGAGACACTCAGCAATTTGTCCGGAGTAGTGTGGCTGTGACACTTTTCTGTCTGATTTTGTAAGCAAGCAGTTTTTAAGTGAAGTGAAACAGGGTACGCAAGACAAATCAGACTCCTGGAAGGGGCACAGGGATCTGGAAAGGTTGAGAGCCCCGGTACAGAGGATGCTGTTATCCGTTTTGCACAAGGGGAAAGACACAGAGCAGCAGGGTGGGTTGGGGATTAAGGCGCTGGGCTGGGGCTCTGGAGATCAGCCCTCCGTTCTCTGGTTCTTCCGCAGAATCCCTGGACAGGTCACGGCCACCCGCTGTGCCTCGGTTTCCCCATTTGTAAAACAGGGATAAGGCTCTGATCTGTAAAGATAGTGAGGTGTCTAACTCCCATTGATTTAACAAAAAAAATCTGCCCCAAGGGCCTTCCTTTGTCTAGCTCTTCGGGGCAAGGGCTGTCGTGCCTGGCACAGCAGGGCCCTGAGCGTGAGCAGGGTCTGTGCAGCACCCGGCGCATGGGCCCCCCCATCTCAGTCAGGTGTCTGTAACTGCTACCATAATACACCTAATGCAAGAGAGGAAGTGACCTGACCCAGTCTCAGTAGAAAGGCCAAAGACAGACGGCACCCTAGAGACCCAACACCCATGGCTGAAGCAGAGGGACGGGGAGCGAGGGGGGGGAGAAAGGAGGGGGCAGTAGTTTGCTATGCCAATGGAGCAAGGCTGTCACCCCAGCTGGGGGACTGGCCCCATGGACTCCCATGGAGCGAGACTGTGGGCTCTGGGGGAAGCGCCAAGGACGGCTCTGTTGTGAAAACATCCGGGTGGTAACTAGGGGTTTTATCGGTTCCCTTTTCACAAGGCCACTTATATGCTGGCTACTTCCCCCCACTTCTCTGAAGGGCAGGACTCAAGCGGTGTCGAAAGCCCAGAGCCGTTAGGGGCTGCAGTGGGGCAGGTTGCTAACAAGGCTCGCTGAGGTCATCCCAGATACAAGTGCTGAGCACAGAGCCTGTCCCACTAGGGAGCGTGGCCCTGCGGCAGCTGTTGTGAGGGACCCTGGTGCTAGTGCCCAGGTGTGCGAGGACACCCAGGGGCTGGGGATTGGTGCAAGGGACCCTGGTGCTAGTGCCTAGATGTGCGAGGACACCCAGAGGCCAGAAATTGGCGTGAGGGACCCTGGCGCTAGTGCCCAGGTGTGCGAGGACACCCAGGGGCTGGGGATTAGTGTGAGAGACCCGGGCGCTAGTGCCCGGGTGTGCGAGGACACTCAGTGGCCAGGCAAGGGATCAGATTGGTTCAGACTTTGCCCAGGGCTCCAGCAAGTGACTGCATCTGGGTCCAGTCATGACATGGTGCCACTTTGCCCGTGGTTCAGCCAGAGCCCCCCTCGCTCACAGCGCCCCCCCCCGCCCCCCCAGACAGCCAGGGCCTTTCCAGAGCCGGCTGCGGGCCTCTAACCCTCATGAATTCCTCTCTTCGCCCTGCACTTCGGCCCCGTGTCACACGGAGCTGGGGGAGGAGGGGGACTGGGCTCTCTGGAGCCATCACCATTGTCTTTGTCAGCAATCACTTTACGAGCTGGGCTAGGTCAGGAAATTCCTGTACGGCTCTACACTGGGGAGGGGAGCAGGGCGGGAGCTTGGCCCGACAGAGCACTGGGAAGAACGGCGCTAGCAGGGCAGTGTGGGCCGGGGTTCAGGGTGGGAAGTCAGGACGCCAGGGCTCCATTCCCCGACTCTGTCACTGGCCTGCTGGGTGACCTTGGGCAAGTCATGGCCCCGCTCTGTGCCTCAGTTTCCCTTTCCTCCCCATGTCTAGTTAGACTGCGCGCTCTTTAGGGCAGGCATATTTTTAAAGGGACTCAGAGCCCACTGCATGTCGGCACAATGGGGGACCCCAATTTCAGGCCAGGTCTGTGCAGTGCCCAGCCTAATGCGGGTGGGGGGCCCTATACTGGGCGGGGCCTCTAGCCCAGGTGTTCTCACTTCGGAGTATGGCCACCAACTCCTGCTGGTGGCCGTTCTGACAAGCCCGTCTCTGTCCCCGCCCCGAGGAAGGTGGGTCGGGAACGCACCAGCCTCCAGCGCCGCACACGCCAGCCCCACGTGTCTCCAGAGGTGCTGCCTGGAGCATCTCGCTGCCCTCGGTAACACCTGTTCAGCTGGGCGCTGCAGGGGGGGCCGCTGCTTTGCCCCCCAAGTCTCCACTTTGGAGGCTGCCGTGGCCGTAAAAAAATCCACTGGTGGCAGCATCCGGCCACGGCAGCCGCATTTGAGAAACGCTGGTCCACCCGCTACACAGGAGAGGTTAGACAGACAGACGGATGGACCAGAGCTGCAAGACAGACAGGTGAGCCAAGCAGGCGGCCTGGTTTCCCAGTGGGCAGAGCTGGGGATTTCCCCCCCCCTGCCCATCCTGGGTGCCCCTGCCAGACATTTCCAGGTCTCCAGCCATTCTCCAGGGAGCCTTGCCCGGCTCTCCACTCAAGGAGCAACAAAATCATTATCCCCATTTCACGCGTGGGGAAACTGAGGCCCAGATGAGCAGGCAGGTCACTCAGTGGGGGTGTCAAAGCTGGGGTTACACAGGAGTCCAGACTCCCAGACCCACCCTGTACTAACCTGCTAGACCCCACTCCCCTCCAGAGCTGGGGACAGAACCTAGAAGTCCTGACTCCCAGCCCCCTCTGCTCTAACCACTAGGTGTTAGTGTGTGGACAGGGGTTGAGTTTGGGAGAGCTGTGTCTCCTGTTAACTCACTAGGGAAGACAAGCCCTTAGAGCTGGATTGGCCAATGAGATCCAAGCACGGGGGTAGGGGGCCGGGGGTGTCTGGGCTGATGGGGAATTTGGCCCCGAAACCTTTTACAAATCTGCCTCTTGGTGCCTTTGCCGGCACTTTGCATCCTCTCCGTTTCACAGCCCCTCCCCGCCCTCCGGCCCCAGCCTGTTCCTTATTCTGAGGTCTTGTCAGAAACCCAGCCCGCCTGTCAGTCTCCTCAGGGGTTGTGTGGATCTGTCACTAGCAACAGCAGAGAGGAAAAACCGTCCGTGAACTGGGACATTGCGGTTGTAAAACCACAACATTTGGATGGTGGGGGCAGGGGAGGGGGAGCTGAAAGGCAGCCTTTGAATTGCACTAGATGACAGGTGTCCCCGGGAAAGGTTAAGATCTGCATCCGCGCAGCACCAGGCCAGAGCCCAGCTGGGGTCAATGGGCCAGGTTCCCAGCTGGCGTCAATCAGCATCGCTCCATTGCAGTCAGTGGGGTCACTTTACATCTGCTGGGGACCTGACCCCATTGTCTCATTTGTAACCCTGGGAACACAGGGAGGAGCCATTCCACTTTAGGGGGCCAGACTCTGATCTCGGCTACACCAGCGGGAATCTAGAGTAACTAGTAACCTCAGGGCATAATGCTGGCTGGAGGCAGCACGGCCTAGCAGCTCGGCCACAAGACTAGGAGTCAGGACACCTAGGTTCTAGTCCCACCTCTGCCACTGGCTTTTTGGGTGACCTTGGGCAAGTCACTTTCCCCCTCTATTCCTCACTTTCCCCTCCCACACATTATCAATGTAGATTGTGAGCTCTTCAAGGGAGGGG